AAATGTTTTTTAAAAAAAAAAAATAAAAAAAAAAAAAAAAAAAAAAAAAAACTCTTCAACAAGCTCTACCTCAAAGAAAGTAGCTATTAGATTCCATATACATCAATTCATGACTGTCATAGTATCTATAGTAAAGTGGCTAGTGATTTGTTGTTTATGGAAGAAAAGTTAAAAGATGATAATACAGCCTTCTATTGCTGAATTGATTGTCACCTCATATATATGAGCATTTAGTGACTATAATTATCTCTATCAGGGATATCTTAGTGTTGGAGGATATTTTAATATATATGTTGGTGACACATAATAAAAACAAGAACCATGAAGACGAAAGAACTGAGGGAAGGAATAGTTTGCATCATATTTAAAAGAAAAAGGGGGAAAGACCAGAAGAGGAATAAAGATTGTTGGAACTGAAATTCAAAGGGGTTGTTAACTTTGTTTCACTTTTTACAAGTAGCTAAGGACTTTTCAGAGAGAGCGTGAGAAGTACAACAAATATGGTTATCTAAGAATCCAAATTACATGAAACTTTTCTCACTATTCTTCAGTGGAAAATTGAGGGAGACATAGTCGTTCATTGAAATGAGTCATAGAGGGGTTGCCTTCTTTTTTTTTGTTTGAGTGAAATTTTGAATTGGAGTCTAAATTTTACTCCTATTAACAATCCAATCATCAAGGTTTGGCTACTTGTAGTAGAAGTTAGTTGTTGGAGATTAGGATACAAGCTTCAAATCTTGACGAAGAAAAAAAAGAGTAAAGTTAATACTTTTCTCATGGAAGATTGGGCCCTTTTGAGGAAAAATAATAAAATTGATCTCCGACAAATATTTGAAAATAATAAAATTGATCCACGGCCCAAGTATATTGAGAAACTAATTTAAAAATATCAAATATAAGGGACAAATATTTGAAAAATCATTAATGGATTTTGAAAAGAGTGTTAAATATGATTTCATATCTCCGACAAATAAATTCAAAAGGTTCGAGCTCAAATTCAATATTAATAATATAGATGTAAGCAGTATTAGTGAGGATTATGTTTCCAAAAAGTAAAATAATTATCGCTAAGGCATACTTCTAAATTTGTTGTGGACTCTATAATCAAAATTTTATCTCTAGATTAATAAAAGTTAAAGCTTAGAATTTACACTTACACAATTCGTTTGTCTCTGAAACCATTATATTTCTTCTCCAAAGCCAGCGGAGCATCCCAATGGAAAAGAGTCACAAAAGGCGTAATGCCTGGTTATACTTGTCATCAATTATTAATCCAAATTAATAAATGGAGATTAGCTAAAAAATGGAGATTCACAAGTAATCATACCATTGGCTAATAATTCATTTATGACATTGTTGTAGAAGGCCACTCCAGCGGGATTTATTCCGCCTTCTATTGTTCCTTCTGTATAACACAAAAAATTATGATTAATTACTTCATGAATAAGATGATAGATGATACTAAATAAAAACTCTTATTTTAATATGGTACCTGAGAGTTTACCTCCCTTCTCACTTTAATACCCTTGGCCACAGTAATGTCTTGATAATTTGATAACCCAAACTTTCAATCTTATTTCACTTTGATGCCTATAAATATTTACTTATCACTTTGATATCCTAAAGTCTTAATCACATTTTACTTTGGTACCAAGGATTGGATTGAGAACTGAAGAGTCCTAAACTTTTACAAAACACATTGAGTATTAAAGTGATAAGGGTAAACTTTGGGCTACCAAAGTGAAAATTAGAGTATAAGAAACAACGGTATTTGTAGACATTTTGTTGGGTACTAATTCAAACTCCAAGTCGGATGCGAGTTTGAAGGCTAGGCCAAATCCTAGTACTTATCTTAGAGGCCAAGTTAACTTGACGGGCAAGTTAGTATTGTGTCTTTGATTCTTTGTATAACTTCAATAGAATTAGATATAGTTAGAGATCTATCATGAGTAGGAGATTGAGTCTCATCATGATTAGGAATTTAAATCCTATTCTAATTAGGATGTTAGGATAGAGATAGGATTTTGGTTTTCCTATATACATTCTTCTATTGTTGGAGGAAAAACCAAGAAGAGTAGAGAGAATGAGAGAGACAATATTGTTGTAGTCAGGATTTTAGAGAGTGTAATCGCGTTCAAGGGCATTGAAAAAGAGAGGGTTTGGCAGTCTTTGTCTGTGCAAAAGATTATAATTTGAAGGTGATAAAAGATTGATTTTGATCTCGTGGTTTTTCCTTGTTGAGGGTTTTCCACGTTAAATCTCGTGTGAATCTATTTGCCGTGTTTGGTGGTTTTCAGGGTTTTTACGAGATCTTAAAATCCCAACAAGTATTATTAGAGTAAGGTTTGACGGTACGTTGAGGTTGGACCGGTATGCGATTGGTGAAGGCATCAGCGTTCGAAGCACGGTGATCGACATCAGGGGAAACAAGAATAAAATTGATTTGTATTTTGATCGAGAATTTGGAGACGGATATTATTTATCCAGGAGTCATTCCTAGGGTTTTTTGACGTGCTGAGTTTGTTTTTATGTTGGTTTTATCAAATTCAATCTCTACAGTAACTGATTTTGAATTTTGATTGTGGTTACAGGTCCGAAGTTTGATATTCTGCTATTCAACGCCAAGATAAACTTTATAGTATGACAGTGCATGGTTCAAGATATTCTTGTGTTGCAAGGTGTTGATCAAGCTTTGGAGGAGAAGAAACCAAAAAGATTAAAGGATGCTAAATGGAGTTCCATGCAAAAGAGGGCAGTTAACACAATTCATTTGGCACTTACCCCCGAGATCAAGTACAATGTTATGTAAGAGACCATACCAAGGGGGCTGTGGAAAAGGCTCAAGGGGATTTATGCGTTAAAATCGATGACTAACCGATTGTGTTTGAGGATGGAGTTTTATTCCTTGAAGATGGAAGAAAGTATTGTAATCCAAGACCACATCAATATATTTAATCAGCTAGTTTGCTAACTTATAAATATTAATAAGGAGATTAAAGAAGAAGAGCATGCACTACTCCTATTGTCTTCCTTGCCGAAGTCGTACAAGTCGTTAATTCAGACGATAATGACAGGGAAGCAGACTTTAAAGTTTAACAATGTGACAGCATTGCTATGTGAGAATAAAAGAATTATGGGAAAGAAGAGCACATCTAATGGTGGTGAGATTGCACTAGCTTTTATAGGTTCTAATCGAGAGAGGGGGTAAGAGGAGATGTGACAGTTATTGAGGAAGGTCAAAATCTCAGGCCCGAGATGACATCGAAAGGAAGTGCTATTATTGCGGAGAAAATGATCACATTCAATTTAGATATTCCCAAATACAAGATGATTTGAAGAGTATTAGACAGATGAAGCTTCAAGAAATGGAAAGAAAGCGGACTCATCGCTGGTTCTGTGTGATGAAGATGTGGTGTTTTTGATGCAGAGTGTAAGTACTGATGCAAGTAACACTTGGGTGTTAGATTTTGCAGCCTCTATGCACATTTGCAATAACAAAAATTATTTTGACACATTGAAGAAAGATGAAGAATTTGACGACGTGATTATTGAAAACAATAAGAAGATGAAGGTTGAAGGTGTTGGAAGTATTCGCCTCAAGCTTCACATTTGAAAGGTCGGATTTTTTCATCATGTAAGATATGTACCATCATGTTGTACTAATTTAATTTTGTTGGTTGAGATGGCATCGCGTGGGTACAAATATATGAGTGAAGGAAATTAGTGCAAAGTGTATAAAGATGGTGATTTAATTTTAAGAGGGAGGAAGAGTAGTAACCATATTTGCTATTTAGACGGGCGATATGTTAATGATGTAGATGAATCTTCTCAGACTCTTGTCTACAAGGTAGAGGTGAATAAAGAAGAGAGTGAGTTTTTCTGAAGCCGTTGAGACACTTGGAGATTTTTCGTCGAGGGAGGATATATTGAGTACCAACTCAAACTCTAAGTTGGATGTGGTTTTGAAGGTTAAGCCCAATCCTAATAGTTTTCTTAGAGGCAAATATAACTTGGCGGACAAATTATGATTGTGTCTTTGATTCTTTGAATAACTTTATGAGAATCAGATAGGGTTAGAAATCTATCATGATTAAGAGATTGAGTCTTATCATGATTAGGAGTTTGAATTATATTCTAATTAAGAAGTTAGGCTAGAGATATATTTTGGTTTTCCTATATATATTCTATTATTGTTGGAGAAAAAACCAATGAGAGTAGGGAGAACGAGAGAGACAATGTTCTTGTAATTAGGGTTTTAGAGGGTGTAACCAGGTTCAAGGTATTGTGAGATAGAGGGTTTGACAATCTTTGTCTTTGCAAAAGATTATATTTTGGAGGTGATAGTGGATTGATTTTGATCCCGTGGTTTTTCTTTATTGAGGGTTTTCCACGTTAAATCACGTGTGATTCTATTTACTGCGTTTGGTAGTTTTTGAGATTTTTCCGAGATCTAAAAATCCCAACACATTTATCTTATAAACTTACATGTTTATGAATAAGGGAGGTATTTTTATTTCCTTTTGTTGAACTCATATAGATGAGGTGTTCTTTTTGTTAGATGAAGAGTTTTTTCCCCATCAACTTAATAGATGAAAAGGATTTCCTGAAACATGTGGCTTTGATGAGGGCCTTTTTTATTGCCATCCACGGCCCAAGTACCCGAATGGGAGCCGCCTATATTGCTTCAGATACGACATACATCCAACAATTGGAGGAAATAAGAGGGCAAACTCAACCAATTAATAGCTTTTCCACGAAATTATGAGAACAGATTCGATTTTGACTAAATTCTTTATATTTTCTAGAATTTATTATTATACAGTGGGAACATTTCTAATATGCGTGGAGAAACAAGTTAAGGGTTTTCTTATCTTAGATCATAAATAAAAATAGTTGACTTTCAATAATTTATATGTGTTTTTTGTCAATAATTATCTTAGAGTTCTAGAAATAGAAGGGATACCCAAAATTTTCATGCTTTATGATCTAGGTTGTTAACATCAGAGAAGGTGGTCACCGTACATAAAGGAAGCTGAAGCTGGGTAAAGTGAAAATTTCGTGGATGTTTAAAAATGCAATTTGGGTTGTAAATTCTTTCTCTATATCAGGGCTTATCTACACCATTAAAACTTTGACGATGGATTAGCTTGTAAACGAGATTCTCTAACACTCTAAATTCTAGAGAATGCCTACAATTATACGGGTGGATAAATAAGATTGGTTAATATAATAAGCTCCAAGACTCAGGTTTTTTATATAATTTATTTATTTATTTAATATATTGGGTCATAGAATGAGAGAAGGGTATTAGTGAGTTATAAGCATCCTCTAAGATCTAGGATGTAGAGGATCCGTGGCGGTTAGCTTCGGATTAAAATTGAAGAAACTTAACCATTTATAATGCAAATAGGGTGTGTTTTTTGGATTGGAAACATAGAAAGCCTATGATATCGTAAAAAAACACACAAAAAGTTTCCAAAGGTTTTTTTATTTCTTTATTTGTTTCACTAAATTTTTTACAAAAGATTTTTTTTAAAAAAAAGTGAAGAAAACACCACTTTTTGGATGGAAACTAATTCCTCCCAGAAAGTGAGTAAACGAACAAAAAAAACTTGAAAAAATGGGTTTTAATATTTAAATGATGGGATGATGTGGGAAGTTGTTTAAAAGATAATAGTCAAGTAATGATGGAGCTTATTCTTTGCTTTTGACCTGATAAGGGAATGATAAAGAAAATATTTTCACTTCATGCTTTCATATCACAACAAACAAAAAATAAAAAAAATAAAATAAACATGTTTCTTAGAACACTGGCAAAAAGGTGGAAATAACTTTTTTAACTACTAGAAATTATTTCCTATATTTTAGAAATTGAAACAAACACGTCGTTACTAAGTATAATGCTCTTCCTTTTTTTTTCTTTTTCTAAAGGGGCGCCATGGCGCGTTGGGTGGTTAAATTAAAAATATAAAAAATTTGGATGGTAGATCATCGAAAAAAACTATAATTTAATATTATGACAAATTCCCCAGGATAAGCTAATATCAATTACACGAGAACACGAAAAATATCCAAACACAGGAACGCAAAGATATACGTGATTTAGCTTGTAGCCTACGTCCATGGGCGAAGGAGGAGAAAAACTTTACTAATTGTGAGGAATATACCGTGGAATCTCTCAATCTCTCAATCGCAGATAACACCCCAAAAGCCTAATACAGCTCTCAACTAAATAAAAGGATTAAAAGATAAAAATATCAAATAGGCTTCACAAAAAATTCTCTCTTCTTAATTGGTGCTCTGAAGATTGATAAATCTAATTGGCTTGAAAGACTATTCTTATATAGCTTTGATTATCCCAGCTCCTTGCTGTCTAAGAAATAAGAGTTCTAATAGGAATAGAAGTCCACATGTCCTAAAACCCAACAAGAGTCCAAGTAGGAATAAACCTCTAATATGTATGATTGGTTGTGCAAAATCTAATATAAGTAAGACTCTTGATCAAAACAAACCAACCTAAAAGGAACTCCCAAAACAATATGGATTTGAGTATTTGAGTCAACCTATAATATTTAATATGGTAATTTCTCTGAGTAATGTTAAGAAATATCAAAATTTTAGAAAATTGAACATATTTTATTTCAACTTATTAACTACGACAAAAGCCAGTATATGGTTATGGATTTCTTCTGTGAAAAACTGGAAACCATTAATCATTTTCTCCAATAGGGTTTGATCGAATTATAGCTGAAAACTAAATTTTGTGTGCATGAGTATCTAGTAATTAATTAAAATTATCACCTGGTAATATTCGAGACCAAGAAATGGAAAAGCGATATGTTTCGAAGCCCATCTCCTTCATTATTTTGATGTCGTCCTGTAATTAATTGTGAATTAATAGCTTGATTATCCAACCCAAATTCGTATATGAACAGAAAAAATCCACGAGAACGAAAATAAAATATCGAGCGACAGTTTGTATAGACATGTACGAACTTTGTAGTTATTGTAGTGATCAAGAGCTACATTTCCCGTGGACTTGTCACTGATTTTATCTGAAAAAATGAAACAAAACGGAAACAGAGCTCGTTAACAATTTTAACAACAGAGATATTATCATTATCTAATTGTTCGAGTTTATCTACCACAATTTACTCAATCTGTAGATGGAAAATATAAAAGATTTGCAAATACTTAAAATAGTATACGGACAAACATAGAAAATTTTCCTCCTTTCTCTCCCGTGCTTTTAATTTATTTTACTCCTTTTTTTCACCAGACGTACATATTCAATTCAATAACTCACTCAGTTTTTCCGATAATGCTTGGGGTGAAAAAAATATTATGATACGTTGAATGGTTAGCTCAAAAATGAATGATTCGCACTCAATAATGCATACCTTCGTGGTTCTGGGTGAAGTGGTCCCATATGCTCGGTCCTCTCCCATCTTGATCCCATGCTCCTTCAATCTATTGAACATAAATATTATTAATTTGAGTGCAAAATTTATATATGCCCTTGGTCGTTGCTGTCTGACGCATAAAAAGAAACGCTCAACGTAAAGGGGCATCTACTAGAGTTCTAATGCACTGGAGCCGTGGAAGGGGCCGGTAAGAATAACTAAGTAGAGAGAGAGAGAGGGAGAGAGAGAGAGAGAGAGATTGTGAGACCTGGTATGCTGCAGTAGCAGCCCCAAAGAGGAACTGAGGAGGTGGAGGGAAGTCGGACCTCTTTACTTCGTCGGACTTAATGATCAAAGGCTGAGGCTTAACGCTAGCCGTACTACCAGACCTAAGTTCATCTCCTCCCTTAGCCGAGCATTGCGTTCGGAAAAGAGGAAGGGACCTCCTCTTGATGTGAAGAGGGATTCTGGTAGTAGCTCTCGATGAGAGAGACGGCAAGTATGGTTTGCTAAGGAAAGAGTTATGGTTTTGTGCGTTCAAGGTAAGTGGGGAGAGTAGTGCCATGCTGATAGCTAATGAGAATTTTCAGATTTGCTTGTAGTAGTTATGTTAAAGAGTTGAGGCCTGTATATAGATGATGACGAGAGAAGATAATGGAGCGTTCAAATAAATTTAATATCACATGCCGAGCGTGGCAATTAAAAAAATACCACTCATCATCACGTTCCTAGAGTGGAAAAAAAAAAAAAGAAAGTCTCTGATTGGTTTTCCAGGTTTAGGGCGGTACAATCGACGCGTGTCATCTTGTTAATTTCTTCACGTGATAATAAATTTAAGGGAAAAATGCTTCTAGCGGGCCAAACACAAAAAACATGCTTCCCTTCCACCTAAGACTTTTTCAACGGGTGTTTTGCTCCCTAAATGATCCGCGGTTTTCTTCCAGCCCTCAAAACGAAACCCTAGGCGTAACTCCGTTTAAACCTCTCACGAAATGTCCAAAATACCCTTCCGTTTAAAATTCACCGTTATGAGTTACCTCCACGTTCGTACCCTATCATCTCTCTTCTGTATGCAAACCGACTCCAGAAACCCATTTCAAAACCCTTGCCCTAAATCAACCGACTCCAACGCAAACCGAATCAAAGCAAATGGATTAAAATTGATGGCGATTCAACCCCCAAAGCAAGCCTCCATGCCGACCACAGCGAAAGCGATGACGTCCAACAGTTTGAAATCTCAGAAAGAGCCCAGACAACTGCAGTGCGTACTGGGTCTGATTGTAGGCGTCTAAAAATGCCTATAGGTGTCCGCACACAGCTCGAAACAGAGAGAAGATGACGAACGTCGATATCCGAGTCTAAAAGGATTATCTGACGCCGACAAGCGCATGAAGCGAAACGGCAAACCAAGTGGCCTGCGCGCTCAGCAGTTAGCTCGCGCACCCAACAATTAGCTCGCACGCATCAATCAGCTCGCACGCATCAATCAGCTCACATGCGTCGGTCAACACGCGCGCGTCAATCAGCTCACGCGCATCGGTCAACACGCGCGCATCAATTAGCTCGCGAGCGTCGGTCAACACGCGCGTGTCAATCAGCTCACGTGCGTCAGTCAACACACGCGCATCAATCAGCTCATGCGCGTTCGACGGTCAGTCCCGCAACGATGCGTGAAAGTCAACAAGACGACCAAATACGCAAAACGGTGGAGAATACAAGTCCCAAAAAACCGAAAAATACCAAAGGCCAAAAAGCGCGCGCGCGGTTCAACCCGCGCCTGCACGGGTCGGACGAATCCGACCCGCGCCCGT